ATGAAGGGAGAGTGGTTGATTGTATATTTATTATTATTATTATATTATATATATATATATATATATGAATAAGTTTCTCTTCCAGATTATAAGAATGATATGGAGAAGAAAGGAACCAGAGGCAATGACATACCACGAAGAAAACAAATAAAGAGAAAGAGATCATGGAGAGTCTATGTGCGATAAATCTCGCAAGGATATGTCAAGTATATGTGTCAAAACAAGATCAGGTGGAGGTACCTTGAATCGATATTCATGAAAGAATGCCTATGTATACTAATAACCAGAGATTTAAGTTTGTTTGCCTATTTTGTGGTTCAGAGTGCTCATAAGGGGACGTATCCCACTTGGTTAAATACATTTTGGGGGTTACCCAAGAATACTCTTGATCCAAAGGAGTTTTGCTTACATGAGTAGTAACAACTAGCGCAAGGCTATCAAAGGACAATTATTTCACAGCAGAATGCTCTGATGTTTTCAAAGCTCCCACTAAGCCACGAGACGAAGAGCAAGTCGCTCGCGGACCCCCAATTGGGTAATTTACTCATCAACATACAAAGTTAGTGAAATAACCAAAACATCTCAATAAGGAATCCTAATACAATAAAGAACATTTGTGCCATAAGGTCAGAGGATAAATTGTCGTATCCCAAATGGGCTACAACTCATCGGTAATCAGGTTGTTGAGATGATACCAACGGTGGCAAAAGAAGTGACAGGGATCAACAGGGGTATTTAAAGAGAGGGAGGAGTAATCCCTAACAAGTAGAGGTAGCCAAGTCGGGGCACCACGAACTCGTCATACAGAGTCACCATGACCTTAAGTCTACCTGGTGGTGAAAGTAGTCGACCCAACACACCCGGAGATCACCGGTTAACAATTCGTGAATTGTGTCATTCGTGGAGACCTCAATATCTCTAAGGTAAAAAGGAAAGAAGCTCTATTTTATGAGTATCAGGTGGAGCTCCAAGAGGTGAAATTTATACCCGTCGAAGTGGCGATGATGCCTTTGGAAAGAAAGAGGAGGAAAGGTTCAACTACAAAGCTGGAAATGCTCCTGACAAAAGTACTTACACCTTGTATGGGTCAGGGAGTCTTCTAATGACATAAACGCGTTAGACAACCACCTAAGTAAACATCTATGTTGGGCTAGTCGGATTGGAGAAGCACTGGGGCTTCATCTGGGGGCATGCATATGATGCAATTATCTACCACAAACCTAAGTGTAATGTCCCTATTAGTATGACTTGGGATATGTTTGTGCTATGCAACCCATTTTAATACTGACCTGAAGGTCATGCTGGAAAATAAAAGACAGATTTTAAAATCTTGAATGTTTTAATCCTATATTTTAATTTGCCTTAAAATTTTATTAGGATTTTGTAAAAATGTTTACAATTTAAGGTTCATGGAGAGCCTAAATGATTATGTCATAGTCTCTGATTGCTCGGTGTGGCTACGCCGCCTTTGGGCATGGTCACACCGACCACATCCCTTTTATGTTGTTTTGGGTGGTTTCAGTGCGGCCACACCCGGTTTAGGCATGTTCACACTATTAAATATGTGTTGCCACACCATTAAATAGGCGTGGTCATGTCAGACAAAAAAGATTAGGCTTTCGGAGAAGTTTTTCAAGGGGGTTTTGGAATTCGTGGGACCTTCGACAGATTGAATGTGAGCAGGTACTGATCATTGGACCTCCGTAAGGAGCATAACTGGGTCTCAAAAGTGTTCGAGAAGTCGAACTATCTACGTATTGTCAAGCGAAGCAGTTCCAACATGAAATTTGTTTTTCTGGGCCTTGGACTTAAGGTCCGAATACGGTGCATGTTACTCTAGTTGATGTTCTGTGCTAAGGGAGCGTTCATATCAATAGAATATGACCCTGTGTCACAGGATCGAACGTCAACCTAGAGGGTACCTAAAGCAATATCGGCTTGGCAACGCTCAACTCGAAGCTCGGCTATGATGGTGTAGA